TAAGTAGGTGCTTTAGACCACTGAGTCATCTCACCACCCCTAAGAGATGTTTTTAAAACCTTGCCATAAACATTTTTTTTTTTTTTTTGCTCAGGCTAGAGCTGCATGTCATAGTGTCTACACATTCATGAGCTGAGGGGTGTAGAATTCACTGCTACATGGGGCCAGCATGTAAGTGGTGATACAGGAAGGCATGGGGCTGGAGTCAGGCTGTGCGCTGCACAAGCAGGACATGCACACTGCCATTCACAGGGCACTTTATTTCTCTGAGACCCTCCCACTTTAGCGATATTTTTTTTTACTCCAATCATGGCTGATTTATATTGTTACAATTTCTGGCAGATGGCATGGAAGGGTTTTGTTCAAACATTATCAGTACATTCTGAAACCTTTCTGACTGGGAGAAGTGAAGTGCTTTGGGAGAGCCATGTTGTATTTCCCATGTTAGACTATCAGGTGTGTAGACAAGTTGGAAAACAAATACTCCTCACATAGATGCCCCTGCATGTGGCCCTACTTGCTTTGTCTTTATGTCTCTACCTATTGCTTTCTCACCTAGTGAAAGTGGCATGCAAACTTATCTAGCCTTGATCACTTCTAAAGTCAGTATTAGCTGTAGAACCAGGTGCCATTACTATACCTGAGGAAATCTATATTAGTTCTGCATCAGCCAACACGATATCTTCTTGATACTTGCATGGAGGGACCTGCGGGCTGCAGACATTCATCTTTCTCTCAGGTCAAGGAGCCAGAGCCAGGGGCTCCCCAGCAGGCTTCCCAGTGTCTTCCCTCTTCTGGCCAATCAAGTCTGAGTCTCCGCTCAGGTCCCAGGTGTCCATAGGTGTGAAGAAGATGTAGGGAAGGTGCCAGCCATGCCTGTTTCTCCTCAAAAAAGCCAATGTTTTCTGTAGCCTCTGGATCGTCCCTGTGTCCTGTTGGCCACACCTGACTGACAGTGTTGTCCCCAAGAGCAGGGAGGCTGGGATGGTGCCAGTGGCTTTAACTACTTCATGGATCTTGGCTGGGATTCTGTTAACAAGAAGGGATATTTGTTCATGTTAATGGACAGTGAACAGGGTCTCCCAGGATCTCTGAGCAGCAACTCCTGCAGAGCAGTGATGTGGGGCAGCCCACTCTCCTCACTCCCAGCTCAAGCTCCTCACCCGGTGCCTCTCACCTCCAGATTTCACCTTCCACACATGGAACTTCCGCTTGTCTATCCAACTTGACTGGGGCTGACAAACGTGCTGCTTAGGCTTCAGGATAATAGAAAACCTGAACTTTAGAGTGTTACTTAAGGGATGTTTTAGTTAAAGGAAAGCAAAAAGGACTCAGTGTTTTGCATCAGAACTGTAAGCACATGGAGTATGTTCAGGGCATGAGCTGGGTCCAACCTCATCACTCATGACTTTGACCGGTAGTCAGAGCATATGGTACCATTCACTAAGAAGAACTCTTCATGCAGTAGGAAAGTTCATTTTCCTTCCCTGGCCAGAAGTGTGCCACGTAATAGCTGAGGAGTTTTATTGTCTCAGTTCATGTTTTAACTTCCTGCATCCACAGAAGGCAGACTTGTGCTGGGGGAAGTGAATATGAATGGGTTCTCTTGAGAAACTTTGTCTTGTGCAGCCTTTGAGCCATAGCTGAAGTTCTGAATTACTTGAGAGCTCAGCTGAATAAATATGTACATGTTGTCCTCAGCCTAAGACATATTCAAAAAGGACATAAGAGGTCCTGCACATGTCCTTTTCTTCCTAAAGTTTCATTACAGAATATAAGCCTTGCCTATAGTAACATGAGCCTATGATTTCCTAGGTGTTCCTACAGCTTACTGTATACACCAGTTCTTCAAGTTACCACTTATCTAGAGACTTTTAAATGTTTCTCCTTTGGGACACTTCTAGAGTTCCATTCATATGGAGCACTTTATCTTCTTTCTCTTATCTTGGCAGCTTAGTATTTCCATTCAGGACATTTTATCTCTGTGCGAAGACAGGAGTAGAAGCTGATGAATGGATCAAGATATTGCGATGGAAACTGGTGAGTCATAAAGTATCTGATCTCGAGAAATAACATGCTGATAATATCAGACGTAGTTCTGAGGAGTTAGACCACCTCCACAAATCACAGGCTGTCATTTGCATGGTTGTGGAATAGTCTGTTCATTCTTTTGGGACACAAAGGGAGTCAAAGACATGTCATAGGAAGACAGGGTGGCTGGGTGGTCAGATCCCAGCCTCTGGCCCGAGAGCACCTTCCAGTTCCTTGAAGGTGTACACGTTGCTCAGATTGTCTGGAATGGGCACTGGGGCTAGAAACTGACACAGATGAAGACAAATGGATTCTTTCAGTTGAAGGCCTCGGAACAGTCAGGGAAGAACGCTTGCCAGGAGAACTTGGCTTAGTTTCCAGAGCACGCAGCACTTTGTATGGCTCAAAGGCCCCAGTGATGGATTTGCTGTGCTTTCTATAATACCCCAGGAAGAACACAGAGTGTTCATATCTCCTCTATCATCTCAAACATTATTTGTATGTGTTTGAAAGTTAGTGAGCTCCTAGCAAAGAATTTGTCCCTAAGAGTTATTAAAATCTATATACCATATCAACCATATATACCATATAGTAGTTGTTTTCTATTGGTATAACAAAATACCTGAGGCAGGCTGCCTTAGTTTATGTAGCTTCTGTGATGGGAAGTTAAACTGCATAGCAGCGTTAGCCTAGCTCTGGTGAGGACCTCAAGGTGGGAAAAAAACATTCAAGATGGAAGAGTCACATTTCCAAGCCAGACAGCAAGTCAGTCAGGCTTGGGATTTCAGCAACGTGCTTTCTTGAGTGTGTACTCCAGGAGACCAGCATCCTTCTGGACCAGTGCCTCATCACCAAAGGACCTCCAGAGAAGCCACCTCTGAAATCATCTGCCAGTATCTCATCTGGGGACCAGATGTTTTCACAAGCAGAACATCTTTATCCTAGTTATTTTTGGAGAAATTATCTTATATGTAGATATTGCCTCAAAATAGAGCCTTACAGGCTGGGGTGAAGCTCAGTGGTAGCAGGCCTTGGGTCCAACCTGTAGCATGCTCTTCCTCCCTAGTGAAGGGAAAACCTCAGAATCTTTTTGCATGCTCCTTTTGAGACCCTAAGACTTCTGTTCTCAGTCATCTTTTCAGTTTGAAATGTAAATTAATAATTATTATTTATTCTGAGATTATTCCAATGTATTTAACTTTCGGTGAGGAAATATTTTCCCATATGAAACCAGAGATGATTTCTCATTCTTTTTGTGTTACAATTGAATAACACATAAGTAGGAAAATTAAGGCATAAAGAACTCAAATGTATACACTTTTAGATTCATCCTCATACAAATAATATTTAACAACGAAATTCAGCATGGACCAGCAGCTTGTCAAGGTCCTCAGGAGGTGAAATCCAGACACCTGGAAAACAATAACTTAGCAAAGAGAGAGAACAGCTCCAGAAATCATAGAAGAATTGACAGGAACACTAGAAATCATAGTGCAACTGAAGTAACTGAAGACAACACAGAGAAAAAACCAAAACAGTTCAAAATGCCAACTCTAAGTCTTTGAGAGGAAGACATGTTTTGGTAAACACAAGCCCCAGATGCAGGTTGGACACTTAGAAGGCCCTCAGATATTCCACTGTAGAGACTGAAGACTGCAAACACCAAAACCCAACCAAACACAAGGACACACCAAGGGAGACAGAGTCTAACGGAAAGAGCAGAGTTTTTCTACCTCAACTGATCTTCAACGTAGGAAACAAGACATGTGAGAAAGGAAAGTGACATGATGCTCTGAAGCAGCTGCTCCAAAGCCGATTTCTCAGACACTAACGTGGAAATTGTCTGGGAAGATAGCTTGGTGGTCTAAGCACCTGCCTGGCAAATTCAAGGACCTGAGTTTGATCCCTGATACCACATGCAGTACTGTGTCCAAAACCGGGCATGGTGGCACACACCTGTAATGCCAGTGCTGGGGAGGCTGAGGCAGAAGGATCAATACAAGTCTGAACTGTGTAGTGAGACCCTGTACCAAATACAGGGTCTGTAACAAATAAATAAATAAAGTGGAAGTTACAGGCACAGAACTCAAAAGCCAAATAGTCAAAATGGTTGAAGAGCTCAAAGAGGAAACACACAAGCAATTTCAAAAGATATGAGCTTGAAGAGGATTTTTTTTAAATATAATTTTTCTTTTTTGGTACCAGGGATTGAACTCAGGACCTTGCATTTGCTAAGCAGGCACTTATGCCACCAAGCTATCTCCCATGCAAGAGGATTTTATTTAACAGAGAAAAGATTTTACTAATAAAATGTTCCGTGAGCTTAAAGAACCAAACTAAATGAGTTAAACAAAGCAAAATAAGATAAGAACGACCATTTGGTAGCAAATTCAAAGTTATGAAAAGCAAGAAGAAATACATGGTATGAAATATTCCGATGGAAAACATGACTAGCAGATTCAACCAACATAAATATAGAATACCAAAAATTAAAGACAATGTGGATGCAGTAGATTATTAGTCATTTCCTAAAAATGATAAGGTGCCATGTAAGCTGGATCCAACACTATTAGACAACTCAAAAAAAATTAGAATTATAGAACAAAATGAAAAATTAAAAGCTAACTCTGAAGATATAAAATCATTTATTCACTAAAATCATACCGAAAATTTTCCAAGTCTAGGGAACAAATTCAATATGCAAATATAACAGGTATATAGAACTTGAAATAGCCATGACTAGAAAAGAACCTGTCCACAAAATCCAGGAATTCAACAAAAGGAGAGAATATTAAAAGCTTTTAGAGAAGCAGCAAGATACTCATAAAGGGAAGCTTATTAGAATTATGGTGGAATTCTCAGCACAAACATTAAGGGCCAGGGAAGATTAAAACAAAGCTTTGAAAAGAACATAATTGTCAACCAAGATTTCTATATCCTACAAACTGAGCCTTCAAGCAGAGAAGTCATAAAGAAACACATGAACACTAAACCTACTGTGCAGAAAATATTCAGGGGAATCCTAGACAGAAACAGAGAAGTCACCAGCACTAAAGAGCCCAGAGGAAAGCATACATCTATCTGGGAGAACAATAAACAAAAAGCAATCAATCAATCAATGAAGGAATCAGCACTGGAAAAATAATGCAATGAGAGGATTCAGTAAACACCTTACAGTAAAAACTGTCAGTGTCAATAGTCTTAACTCCCCAGTCAAAAGACAGACTGTCTGAATTGAAAAATAAAATGCAACTACATACTGCCTACAAGAGCTACATCCCATTCAAAAGGAACTGCATAGGCTAAAAGTAAAAAGATGGAAAAAGCTACTCCCTGGAAATGGAACCTGAAAGCAAACAGGAACATCTATCTGATCCTTAGGCAGAAAAAATTTCAAGCTAAAATTTGTCAGAAGAAATGAAGATGGTCATTAAGTCCTGGAAAAAGGAACAATTCAGTGGGAAGAGATAACAGTTATAAAAAATTACACATAGAATATGTTGGCACACAAGCTTCATAAAACAAAAATTACTAGACATAATAGGACAGATAGATGCTGTCTTCAACCTGCCACTCTCAATTAGGTCAACCAGTCAAAAAAATTAACAAATACTGGAGCTAAGCCACATCACTGAATAATAGACATATCTACAGAAGTGTTTACCTATCAATAATAGAATATGCATTTTTCTCAGCAACCACAAAACTTTTTCCAAAATAGACTTTGTCTTAGGCAGGAAAACCTGCCTAAATAAATATAAAAGAAAAAATATATATAAAAGAATTGAAATAATCCCCTGCATGCTATTGAGTCATAGTGGAATGAAATTAGAAAGCAATAGCAAAATAAAACCACAAAATTTACATAAACACATGGAGACTAAACAATACTTTATGAATAATCAATGGCTCACAAAATAAATTAGGGAAGAAACTAAAAAACTTTCTAGAATCAAATGACAATGGAAGCACAACATGCCAAAAATCTATAGGACACAATGAAAGCAGTTCTTCAAAGAAGTCTATAGCTATAAATGCTCACATTGAAAGAATTGGACAATCTTAAGTAATCTAATGATCCATCTCAAAGTCCTAAAAAAAAAAAAAAAAAGAGCAATCCACTTCTGAATTTAACAGAAGGAAAGAAATTGTAACGATCAGGGCAGTGAATAGACACCTCACAGAAGTACTAATGGGCAGTATATGAAAAAAATATTCAACCTCTCTGGCTAGATGCAAATTAAAACAATACTGAGATTATGTCTTACCCCAGAAAGAATGACTAATGTTAAAAAACAAATAACAAATGCTGAAGAGCCTGTAGGGGAAAAAAATTTTACATTATTGGTGGGAATGTAAACTAGAACCACCACTCTGGAAATCAGTATGGAGATTCCTTCAAAAGCTAAAGATAGAAATTTTATTCCATCCAGCTATGTCTCTTCTGGGCTTCTTTTCTAAAGAGTTAAAGAATTCATGCTACATGCAGATCCATGTTTATAGCAACACAATCATAACAGCTAAATCATGGAAATAGACTAATGTCCATCAGCAGATAAGTGGATGAAGAAAACATGGCATTTATACACAGAGTAGAATGCTATTCTGCATAAAGAAGGATAAACTAGAGTTGTCTGTAGGAAAAGGGCTGCACCTTGAGACTCTAATGTAAAGTGAAATAAATCAGACACAGTTAAATATTGCATGGCTTTTCTTATACAAGAAACTCAAAGTAAAGATGATTTAAAGAGAAAAATAAAAGCAATGATTGGAAACAGAAGACCTCTTGCAGATGGGAAAGGGACATAGGGATGAAGGGAGAGCAGGGAAGGGGAGAAGAGGAAGAAGACAGGACAAAAATGTGACGTGTGTGTGCCAACTCCCCGGGATGAAGGCGAACATGAACTCATAAGAAATTGGCTGAAGAAAAACCACAAAAAATAAATTTTAGTCATTCTTAGGTGTTCATTGCCTGCTCATTTCACTTAATATATTACAAATCATTTTTCACATCAATATCTGTCTTTTGATTTATTAGAGTACTAACTTTTATGGTTTAGTGTATGAGATCAATTCCCCAATTGTATGTTTTAGCAACCATGTTATAATGTCACTGAAAAAATATAAAAAATCATATGAGACATGGGGGAGGGTGATAATTAGCTTACAGTTGCATGGCTTCCATCCTAATCAATGGATCTTATTTAATATTTCAGAATTCATTTTCTTAAGTCACTGACAGATGCACATCTGTTTTATTACAGTCACAAATAAGGAGACAGCTCAACCAGGGAGAAGGCACCATCCGATCCCATTCATTCGTTTTTCAGTAGGTCTTTGTGCCAAGGAGCACCGGCCCTTGAGCAACGTGGGGAGCTGTCCGACGCCGATCCCTGGCAGGCTTAGGTGACAGCTGAGAAGAGCAGCCTCAGCTTCGGACCCGTGTTGTGTGGTTGCAGACCCATGGAGCACCACTTCCTCCTATGATGCCACCTCTGCTGCTGCTGTTGCTGCTGCTGCTGCTGCTGCTGGCCTCGCCTGGGTCTGTTGACTCAGGACAGGCAGGGAAAGGATGGCATCCATGTGGCATTCCAGGCTGTGTACATTGTCACCTGGGCCCCCTTGAGTGACTTGGTCAGGTCATTTGCCTCTAGCTGTGCTGTGACCACAGGGAAAAGTTCCAGGAGATTTAGGATGGACACTCCTCACAACACAAACCCAGTAGCAAGCACTGCAGACTTGAAGGAGGGTTCGTTATTTGCTTTTTCTTTATATGTTTCCAAAACTACAATAGAAAATGTTTGCCATAATTATTTTCTCCTTTTAGAAGTCTTTGAAATTTAAGGGCCAGAAAATCACTCAGTGGAATAAGCGCTTCCCTGGAAAGCACAAAGGTCTAAGTTCAATCCCCAGTTCCACCAAAAAAAAAAAATTTAATGGTCCTTTTCTTCTAATAAAACTATCAATGAATGTCCCTTGGGTAGGTCAAAAAAGGGAAATGAAGGCACAGTCTTTAAAACATCTCTTGCAACCATTTGGGGAGAAATGTCTGAGAGAGGAAACATAACTTGAGGAAGGGTAATAAAAAGTAATCTATCACTTAATAATAGTTACTACAATGATTACTGTTGCAGCTGTAATAATCACAGTGCATCTGTAAGCACTAAGGCACCTTTAGCCAACATTTCTCCCCAGCACTGAAGGAGACTTTTCCATGAGTGTGTTGTAGCAATCCTACCTCCAGAAGGAGCTGTGCAGGATTCACCCTCTAGCACTGTGCACCTTATTGAAGGACAGCTTGTATTGTTGCTCAGGGAATAACACTAAATCCCCATGTCATAGACAGTGTCATAGTGCAGTTTCACATTGGAATAAGAGGAGTGAAGTAGTAATAACAGGTGCCCGGAGTGCATCAACAGGTCCTAGCTTCTGTTTGTTTCTGTTTTCTTCTGTGATCTTCATTAATATTGCTCATTGAGATAGATGTTTGAAGGCAGCAAAAATAGATGAAGAATCTGAAAACAGTGGCCCCAAGAGGCATCTTGTTACATGAGTACCAGCTGGACAGACATGTTGAGGTTAGAGCACATTTAATAAACTTTCCTGTCCGTCTTACACAGAATAAGGCCAATTTCAAGTGAAAGTGCACTGCATCAAGCTTGCAGGAAGAAGTCACCACTGTGTCCTCACTGAAGTGTATGGTTTGGTTCTGTTTTCTTAAACACAAGGGTGTTTCTCTGTGTATGTAATATGAACTTTCTGTAAGACATGTTTATTTATAGTCTTCAGTTTTATTAAAAAGACCGTGACTTTGCTGTGTATTATTCTATTATTAAAACATGCTTCAGAACTTGTGGCCGGCTACCCTGTGCCAGCAGAACCTACTCGTCCCAGCCCAGGCACAGATTGGGTGAGACCCTCTTCCACCCCCTTGGGATGCCCCCCACCACTCTGCACAGCCTACCCTACCACGCCCCCTGAGTAGGAATTTCTGCCGCATTCCAGCAACCCCAAGACCCAGTCCTAGCCCAAGCCTGGAGAGTGTATGAGAGACCTTCCAGCTACCCTGTGCAAGCAGGACCTACTGGTCCCAGCCCAGGCGCAGCATGGGTGAGACCCTCTTCAACCCCCATGGAACACCGGTGCCCCACCACTCCGCAGTACCTCCCCCACCTTGCCTACAGAGTAGGAATTTCTGTCGTGTTCTGGGAAGCACCAGATCCAGTCCAAGTACAGGCCCATTGAGTGTATGGGAGGCTTCCTCTAACCCCTACGCCACCTTGTCCCCTCCAGACTCAGCTCAGGCCTGATATACAGGCCTGGGGTGAAACCCTGCAGCTGCAATCGCTGGAGACAGTGTAGGGGACAGAACCACCCAGCTAGTCCAGGAGCAGAACATCTTGCCAGAAGGGCATAACAGGTTCACCCCCAAGGGCAGCAGCAGGAAGGAACTGAGCACAGCAGCCAGACCCTAGCCAGGCACAGCTGGATAAATCCAAACTTTGTAGATCTACACCTGAACTTCAGTAGGCGCTAAGGCTAACTGCAACAAAGATCTACAACAAAGGGCAGAAGACAGTGCTACACAAAATGACAACGAAAAGGAAGAAAATGCAATCTCAGAACCCAAGCCCGCCAATAACAAGGGCAGAGGACACTAACACAGAACAAATTGGGAATCACACAGTTGAGAGCAATTAACCAATGGCTTCTGAAATAAAGAAACAGCTGCAAAAAGGTATAGAGGAACTCAAATTGGAAATGAAAAAAGAAATCCCGGAATTAATAACATCTGCAGTAAGAATCAAATGCAGAAACGTATGGAGGAAACCCAATGCCCACCCAGAACAAATGCAGAGGACACTACCTCAGCTCAAATGTATGAATTAATACCATCGATAGTAAATAAGCAAGAGCAGAAAGTCATAGAGGAACTCAGAGCAGAATTCTTTTCTACTAGATCAGCTCAAATGTACAAATTAATAGCGTACATAGTAAATAAGCAACAGGAGAAAGTTATAGAGGAACTCAAAGTGAAATTCTTTTCTGAAATAAAAAAAAGAATTCTCAGAACTCAGAGCACCTGAAGTAAAGAATCAACTACAGAAACATAGGGAGGAAACCCAATCTGAAAAAAACAGTGCAGTAACAGAATTTATACCTGCTTCTAAAGAAGAAATTGATTAAAAAAAAAAAAAGAGGAGATTAGAACAATAACAATTCCTTGAATGAGCAATACAGGAAAGAAATAGATAGTATGAAGCAGAGTCAAAGAGATATACAGGAAATTAAAAGCTCAATCAGAAGCTTGCAAAAAAATATAAGTGAAAGTCAAGACAGAGTTTCAGGTATTGAAGATGCTGGTGCAGCTAGTGAAAAGGTAAGAAAGGATCTCTTAAAAACAACTAGGAGGCAGGAAAAAATAATCCATCACCTGCAAGATGATGCAAAGATGAACAATGTGAGACTAATGGGCATGAATGAGAAAGAAGCAGTCAATAAAAATGACATTAAAAAAATATGGGCAGGGCTGGTGAGATGGCTCAGTGGTCTAAAGCACCTACTTAGAACAAGCTTAGCAAAGCACAGGGACCACGGTTCAATCCCCCAGCACCACATGCCAGCCAGCCTCACCCACTGGTGGGCTGAACTAGCCACACACACATACACACACACACACACACATAAATAAAATTTAAAAATATATATATGGGCAGAAGTAATAGCAGAAAATTTCCCAAATATGAGGAAAAAATCTGATATTCAGGTAACTGAAGCATACAGAATGCAAAGTAACCTCACTGAGACATATAATAGTCAAGATCCCAGAAATTCAGCACAAAAATAATCTATTGAAAGCCGCTAGAGAAAAGAAGCAGATCACATTCAAAGGAAAACCCATCAGTATTACGGCAGACTTCTCTTCACAAACTATGAAGGCAAGAAGAGCATGGAGCAGAGTACTTCAAGTACTCTATGAAAACAAATTGTAGCCCACACTACTATACCCTGCAAAATTCCCTTTCAAGTTTAATGGAGAAGTGAAACACATTCATGACAAAGAACAGCTAAAGAAATTCATGATGACAAAGCCAACCCTACACAGGCTACTGAAAGATGTTCTAGAGAGGGACCAAAATGATCAAACTCCACGAATGAGATCAGAAGCATCCAATGAAATAGGGGAAGCAATTAAACACAGGAGAAAAAGGAGTAAACGACAACACATAAGATGTCAATCATAAGTCAATACATCTCAATTCTAACCATCAATTTAAATGGACTCAATTCACCAATTAAGAGAAATAGACTGGCACACTGTATTAGGAAACAAAATCCAACAATACACTGTATACAAGAAACACATTTAACTCATAAAGACATTCATAGGCTGAAAGTCAAAGGATGGAACACAATAATACACGATCCAGCACCTCAGAAAAAAACAGGAGTAGCAATCCTATTCTCAGACAGTCTGAACTTCAAACCAACAAAGATCAAGTGAAATAAAGAAGGCCACTATATACTGGTTAGGGGAAAAATTCAAGAGGAAGACATAACATTCATAAATATGTATGCACCAAACACGGGAGCACCCAACTATATAAAGGAAATCTTAATGGACATGAAAAATCTAATATCCAATACAACAATCTTAACAGGAGACCTTAACACCTCCTTATCGCCAAAAGATAGGTCAACCAGACAAAAACTTAGCAGAGAAATAACAGAACTGAACTAGAGCTTGAAACAAATAGATTTGGTGGCCATATACAGAGTGTTCCACCCAAACACAGCTGTATACACATTTTTCTCAACAGCACATGGGTCATTTTCTAAAATAGACCACATACTGGTCCATAGGTCATGCTTAAGTATATGTAAGAAAACAAATTATCCCATGGACATTATCTGACCAGAGTGCAATCAAACTGGAAATAAATGACAAAAGAAACCAGAAAAAGCCCTTCAATACTTGGAAATTAAATGACACCCTACTCAGCAACCAATGGGTCACAGATGAAATTAAACAAGAAATTCAACAATATCTACAATTCAATGAAAATTCAA